CGGCTGGGGTTGGATCCCCCGTCACGGCGCGTACGGGGGACACCGAGCGATGTCTCTCCCTCTCTCTCTCTCTCTCTCTCTCTCTCAGCAGTACACGTATTTGTGGTCAGCCCACGGAGCCGAAAGACGGGTGGAGGATGAGTGGAAGATCAACCAGAAAATAACAGTTCTGGGGACAAACTCGGAAGGAGCCGTTTCCGAGTGGCAGAGCGAAGAGCGCACAACGAGCCCAGCAGGAGGCGGGAGCGGGGCGGTCGCTTGGCGACGCTTCTCCAGTTCAGATCTGCCGACCCTCCCCACGAGTCTGACGTCCAAACGTCCTAAAAGTCAAAACTGTGGGTTCCGGGGTTTTTTTTTATAATTTTCTTGGAGACAAAAGGCAATCTGATCTGATCTGATTTGGCATTGAAGTTTAACCTGAAGAAAATGCGAGACCATTTATACTCTTTGTCTCACTGGGTGTGAACACTCACCCAATCCGCTGTAAAGCAGCAACGTTGGAGGCCGGTGCCGCCCCCGGCCCCGGGGCGGGGGGCCGATGCGCGGTGTTTTCTCCACGGTACCTTCCTGAAACTCCAGGAATTACGGAGAAAGGCCTGCATCCTCAGACACATCTGGCCCCAAGAGTTTCTCACAGGACAGCTCAGTGACTGTAGCCGCATACGGTGTAAAATGGGACGGGGACCGAGGTGAGAAGACCAGTGTGGAGACCTCCAACGGTCCTGGCCAGAAAAAATAAGAACCTGATGTATAGCGGCATCTCTGAAAATGGGGGGAAATGGGTGAATATAAGAATCACGGGGAATTGGACTCGGCAGCTGCTTGGAGGGAGCAGAGGGAGGAGGAAGTCAGAGGAAAGCCCCCGGTTGATTCTGGGAGCCCAGGGACAGCGGCGGCAACCGCAGCGACCGCGGCGATGCCCAGGCCTGCGAGTGCGCTGCGGTCACACAGGATGCGAGGAGCGGGCCGGGCTCTCGGCCGTCGCGGGCAGCGGGCAGGGGCGGCGCTTAGAGTCGGGGCGCGGTCAGCGCCCGGGCTGGGGGGCGGAGGGAGGCCCACCTGCTCGGGGGGCGGGGAAAGCTGTGGGCACGGAGGACGCTCCCGAGGAGGAACGGAGGGAAAGGACACGCCGGCATTTGGGGGAACCAGCAGCTCTGAACCGCAGGGCTTTCTTACTTGCACGGAAGGTCTGTTGCTGAGATGAGCAGAGGCCAGGAACCCCCCCATGACAGAGCAGCAGGGGACAGCCACCTCCGAAGGCACCGGTCCGGGTTCCGCCGGGAGGAGCACCAAAGCAGAATCCACCCGACCCCGACCCCAGTGTCACGTCAGCGTGTCTGTTGCCGACAATGAACTGAGCAAACACCCGTTTAAAGCTCTGGAAAAACACCCCAAAGCAAGTGGGTTCTTTAAAAAAAAAAAAAATCAATAGATGTCCTCGAGTCCACATTTTTTACCCCGATGCCAGTACAAACATAGCTTTTTTGCAGTCTATCACTGTGGCCCATTCTGACTCAAGAGAGCCATTCAGGCCAAAGTAAACCCCAGTTAGTCAAGCTGTTCGCTTGCTTTGTAAACAGCATCTTTCTTACCGCGGCTGCCGACACTCCCCTCGGCATCGCTGCTCTGTGGCGCAGACAGTGCGGCGGGAAGAGCCCGCAGGGAGCCCGGCAGGTGTGAGCTGATGGGCGCGGGCCTCTCCTCCAACAGTGAACCTCCAGAGCGATGTTTCTCGAGAGGCTGACGGCTGATTTTACAAGTCGGCCCAGGTACGTGGCCAAACGCTATTCTGGATGCTCCTGCAAGGCTGATCTGGGGGAGGTGCCCATCTCAATCGGCGGACGTCAAGGAAAGCAGATTGCTCTCCCTGCACAGGTGGGTCTCGTCCAATCAGGCGAAGGCATGAGCAGCACCAAAGACCAACCTCCCCCAAGAACCGGGACTCTGCCGGCCAACGGTCTTCAGACTTCAGCTGCCCCCTCGGCCCTTCCCCGGCCTCCAGCCCCCCGGCCTCTGCGAACCTGGGATTTGCCAGCCTCCATGATCACGAAAGCCAATTCCTTCAGACAAGCAAACGCAGGGTCCGGCACGCCCAGCGCCCCTTTTTCATTACAGAATCTTTTATTACAAAATCATGAGCATGTAATTCTGTCCCGTAACTATCACACTCAAGCACATCACAAGACATTCTAGGTGAAATGTTCAAATTGCTGTCCCTCGCGTGAGAGGTATTCACCTACCCTACCAGCCACACTCGATGGCGTTGCATCTGCCGGGCCCTGCGTACAGTATCCCGTTGGCTGCTTCTCCGGGGAACCCCGACTAATACCAGAGGGACAGAAGGGATAGGGCAACTTCACTTCTGGTGACCTAGAGAAGTTGAAGAAATGAAAACTTATGATCCAGATCGTCTCGGGGGGAGAAAGCAATTTAGTCAAAAACCCAATGGTGGAAAGCAAATTGATTGAGGCTTTAGATGAGTTGAAACGACAAGCTGATCAATAATAAAGATCTCAGTCCTCAACTTATTTCACTTCTTGATCATGTTTATACACCATCGGCCGTTGTGCCGCCTTTAGACATGTTGATCTCTTTTTCACAACAGGGGGAAATTATTTATCTATTTCTCCCTGCTCTCTGCTACAAACTGTGCATGCAGCCTCTGAGCATGACAGACGAGCTCCGTCTTATCCAAGCCACCATCCCTCTTTATTCAGCGAGTGGTAATCATGGGACAGGAACAGAATTAAGAATAAATGTGCTCCCTCCGAAAGGCAAAGGCGAAGGGAAATCGCCTCGACGGCAGAACCTTGAGTGGGCGTCCACTGCAGCTCAGTAAAGAGACACCCGCGCTCTTCCACGGGCAGCGATCAGAAGATTAGAGACAAGACCTGGGCCGGGGCGCACATGGGCCTCGCAGGATGAGCCCAAGATGGGGGCCCTCTGCGCCCCACACGAAGCGTGTCACGGGGAACCTCTGCAGAGAAAGCCTCCCGCGGTCAGATGCCCAGGTGGGCCGGGCCCGGGGCGCCGGGCGCCCTCCCTCTCGGAGCCCAGCGCCGGCTCAGCGGGCTGAGTACAGTCAGCCCGGGAGCAGGGACGGAGCCCACCAGGACCCTCAGCGCGCAGCTGTCATCTAGGGCCTCCCCTCGCACTGCTGCACGGCAGCCTTTGGGGGGTCCCGCTCTTGGCCCCCGCACCCTGGGCCCCTCAGACCACTTTTCCTCCCTAGGTCTTCGCGTTGCCCAGAGTTAATTCAGCCCCTCCCGACTGATGCCCTGGGGGGGCAGCCTCAGGCCTGGCTCCGTGCGGCTGCCCCCGCTGGCAGGTCCAGCCTGGGAACCCCCAGGCCTTCCTGACCGCCGCTGCTGCTGCCGCTGCCGCCGGGAGGACAGTTGGACGTTTTGTTTTCAGTTCTGTTCGGTGGCACGTTGGCCGGCCACTCCTGAAGCAGACATCCTCACGAGCTTTGCTAAGTACCTCGGGTTCAAAGGAAAGCACCAGATTTAAGGCAAAAATTCCCACGGAAACAATTACGATTCTTTTCCTCTGCTATTAAAATTAAAGAGGCCAAAGGGGCTCAGCCTTCTGGCATCCAATGGTAAATGTCCTGTTACCCAGAGGTCAAATCAAACTTAAACTGAACCCGCCGAGGTTTAACTGTGCCTTCGGACGTGAATGTACTTCTGTTTGTGAAGCACTTAGATGCCAACCTCCGAGAAAGTGGTAACAAGCAATGGTTTTGTAAACATGATTTAGAAATGTAATTACATGGGAGAAAGTCATCCCTAACACTCAGTTCTACCGGATTTGAGTGCCTCCCTCAGGGTAGGGGGTCCAGCCTGAAGGTGACAGTGTGCGGGGGGCACAGGCACGACGACAGCAACCCCTGAACAGAGAGGGGCAGGGTCGGCAGGGCAGGAGGGGATCCCAGGAGACACCCCGAGACCCCGCCTCCTGTTCCGGCGGCTACAGCCTGGACGGCGGCCGCCCTCCCCCCGCCCCACCTGCCCGCCCACATGCCCAACCCTGCCCTCTGCCACCGCTTTCACCCTCCTCCAACCGCCCTCAGTCCAATGCAGCGGCGAGGACCAGACCCTCATTTTCAAGCCTGCGTTCCCAGTGTCAGGAGCTGGTCCCGAAGCTGCCCCTTGTGGCCTGCTCTGCCCGTAGAACAACCTAACTCGTTCTCTGGGAAACAGTCGTAAAGGCCCCGGATGGGATAAAACGAACCGAAAACGAACCCCTCTTGTGAACAGACCCCCGTAAAGTGGCCAACAGGCAGGGACACTTGTCTTATGAGGGGGCCTGGGAGTGAGTGGTCTGACACGCCGCCGCGGTCCCCGAGCAGCCCTTCGGGGAACGCTGCCCACGCGACGCGGGGCCCCGTCACGTGTCTGTCCGGTCGGTGACGACATCCCGGGGCGCCCCAGGCTGCGGCGAGGCTCCGCGTGGCCTTCCTGTCCTCACCGGGCCCTTCGCCCTCCAACCCGCGGCGGACCTCAGCACGACCTGGAGGGCCAGCGCGTCTCCGCTCCGCGGGCGCCGCAAACGTATTCTAAGGGTATCCCACTCTGATGTATTTCATGAGAAGTGAAAACACAGCACCTCCGTAGAATTCCCACCATCTAGCAAGTCACGTCCACTCTGGGAAACAGGGCCCCGCTTCTAAAACCAGACCATAAATTTTTCAAAAGACTTTATTTCGGTGACTCCCGGGTCCTATTGTGAGTTAGCAAGTTCGGTGCTACTCAGGGCCCCCGATGGACGCAACTGAAAATTAGATTCCACAGAACTTCTCTGGTTGGAATTTAATCTAAGGTTTGTGCAATTCTACACAGAAATCCATTTTTCTTAACATTCAACTTAAAACATCAGACCTAATCAAATAAGGGGGGGGGGGGGGAATCATGATCGAATGCTAAACATGGAAACATGAAACAAGTAAACAAATCTCTTTTAAAAGATCACTTTATTATAAAAGAAAAAATTAGCCAGAAAATCGCACAGACCCAAACAAATCGACGTGAACACGAGGGCGTGTTTACCGTCACCCTCTTACCTTTCAAAGGAAGTTCCGTCCACTAAACCCACAGCCTTCACTGCCCGAAATCAGCGCCATGGGTGGTTTTACTGCCTAACGTCCCACAAACAATTGGCTTTTGTTCCGGAAGTTGAGATGGTATCTACCATTTTGCTTCATGAAAACTTCAAAATCATCCCTTTATGAGTGATTTCAGGTATCCGCCCCCAAAATCCAACGCAAACAACAGAAAAAATAAAAACACTGTTGTTTTCCAAAAAAAACATCCTGCCTTCCATCTCATTTCACCAGCCCGAGGACAAAGTCGGAGAACAGCTCCTGAAGGCCCGCGGTTTCAAACTCCTCCCGCAGCGCGTCCAAGCGCGGGAACTCTCTGACGTCAAAGGCCGCGAACCTGCGTGGCAGAGAGAAACGGGCAGATGAGCCCGGCGCGTCTGAGCCCCGCGCGTCCGAGCCCCGCGCGTCCGAGCCCCGCCGCCGACCAGCCCCCGGCGCCCGCGCGGAGCTGCACGGCACCTGGCGTGTTCCGGCTGCACCCGGCTTTCATACAGCACGCTGACCATCTTCTCCTTGCACTTCTTCCCGCTCGAGTCCACGTCGACTCTGCAGGTTTTCTGAAGCACCAGGTACTCCTAAACGACAAAGCAGGGTGTTATGCGCTGGCAGGGCCCAACCTCCCCGGAGCCGCACCCTGCAGGCGACCCACGTGCTTCAAGGGCGCTCGCTGGGGACCGAGCAGGGAGGGCGTTACGTGCTCTTACACCCTGGGTTGGGGGAAGCACGGGGCACGCGGGAGGGAGGGCTGACGCCATCCGCCGACTCAGGCTGAATCCCGGACGGGCAGCCAGGCCGCTCTTGGCCCGGAGCCTCAGAAACCTGCCCCACACCTGCAGGCGACGCTCGCGGCTCAGCGAGCTGACAGGTGCACAGCGCTGCTGGCACCGCCACTGTCACCGTCCCTGCGACCCCCCTGCGTCGGAATGGCGTTCGCAGGTGCACAGCGCCTGCCTGTCCCCGGGGGCGGCACAGGGGCACAGGCGCCTGGGGCTCTCGGGGCTAACCTGCAACCCTATGAAAATGCAACAGAGGCGTTTACACGAAACGGCATTTTAGGGACAGTTAAGAAAAAAGAAAGAACCCCTTAAAAGTGAAATTTCTCTACATCAGCCAAGTTCGAGCTGTGTGAGTAACGACTTGTTAATGAATTGATGGGTCCAGTCTAATCTCTGCAAAGCAGCTGCTTGTAGCTGAGAGGCCTGGGCTGCCTGAACGAACCGTCAGAACCTTTGGGGTAATAAGAGCAAGAAAAGTAAGCTGCGTCCCTTTTACCGGCCAGTGATCGCACTCAAAAGGATCGACTTTTACAGGTAGGTTATAAATCCCCTTACGATGCACGGTTCCCGGCCAGGCCCCAACCCAGGATCTCTATGAAACTCGAGCACCTGTGGCAGCGACCTGCTGTGACCCGCACTGAGCTGCCAGGCCAGGCGCCAGGCGAGTTTCCCGGTCAGACCCCGTCCTGGACGAGCTCGGCCGCCCTTCCACAAACCTGCGCGATCTCGGCCTGCGCACGCTCCGCCCGTTCGCAGCAGACCCAACTGCAGTGATTCCTGACCCAACCCCTCTGAAGGCACAACGTTTAACAGGTGACGTGTGGCTCTCTGAAGATGGGAGGTATAATTAGCTCTCTCCTCATCTGGCCCCACGTGAAACAGGTCAGAGGCGTCAGAATGCGAACCCGAGACATCGGCAGACGAGGGCGGGGAAGCCGCGGCCGAGACAAGTCAGGCGGCACGTGAACCTGAGGAGGGAGGGGACGGTCCCCGGGGGCGCCGGCGCTCACACTGCACCGCGGTTAGGGGGCCTGGCTCCCCTTTCCAGTGCGACAGGTAGCCAACTACAGTGTCAGACGGCACCCTTCACGGCCACAGAGTAACGTTTTTGCAGACTGACCGCAGATACAGCACTTGCTGGGCCTACCTCAGGCACAGGCGCGGAGTGCGCGTGCATGAGCGGAGTGAGGCTCATCAGAGAACGCACACTCGTAGGCCACGGAGGCTTTTTACGACCTCCCACCCACATTCAGTGGCATTTTTTTTAAAATAAAACCTTCTCCTTGATTGTCAAGTTTTTCACGTCTGTAGTCGTAATTAGCAGATAGAGCTACTCTCTAAAAAGGGAGACCCACGCGCGTGGGAACAGCGAAAACAGGCACGCGATCGGTCTGCCCACCGTTACTACGCATATGTACAGAGGCATCACGTTAGCAGAAGACGGTGGGATGCCCTTTCAACACCAAACCTGCAGGCACCTTGATGTCGTCTCTGCGTCCCTGCAGCAAAATCAGGATGACTCTGCCCATGAGCATCAGTCTCCCCGTCAGCCCCAAACCGGCAGCCCACTGCCGCACGGCCCTCGCGTATCTGCTCTTCGCTCTCATGTGGTCCACGTGCAGAAGGGCCAGCCACAGCCCCTCGTCCTCCGTCGCGCTCGCTGCGGAAGGGCACTGTCCGGGGCCGCCGCCCGCGCCCGCCTCGGCGAGGATGTGCCGGAGGTGCTGCTGGAGCCAGAGGACCAGCTGGTGGACCATCGGCTCCGGCAGAAGGCTCCGTGCGTGCTCCAGGAGCCTCTCCCTCACGGCCCCGCACTGCGCCCGCGTCAGGCGCTCGGAGCTGACGGAGACGCCGGGCGGACACGAGGGGTAACCGGCCGGCAGGTGGAACACCAACTCCAGGGGAACGGCCGCGTCCTCCGCCGGGCCCTCGGCTTCCGTGAGAATCCTGAGCACGGCGCCGTCCGTCTCTGGAAGGCATCCAAACAGAGCCGTTAGCTGCCCGCCGCGCGGTCTGAGGAGGGCCCCGGCCAGCTAAGAGTTTTGTTTCCCATGGCGACGTATTTTTCACGTGAAAACTGAGTAATGTTTGGAAGAGACCCCTACTGGTGCGAAAGCCTGGTTTACAGGTTACTTCCTTCCACCTCCACACTCCTTCCTGGAGCCCGTCCCACCAGCACCAGGGGCTTCGCTGGCGTTCGACTGGCTCTTCCCCCATTTTTATGGGGTGACCAGAAAGGCTCCTCAGCAGAAAACCGTTTTCTACCCGGACTTCGCTGACGATTCTGGAAACCCCTAATAAACTCACAGGAAGCTGCACAGGCTCAGCAGCACGTGTCTACGAGACCGGTGATGGAGCCGCCGGCTCCGCACCCGGCGCAGCGAGGGTCACCGCGCGGTCCGTCCGCGTGGAAGCGGGCCCTGAGCCCCAGTGGGAGCCCGGGTGCCGCGCCCCACGGCCGTCCTGGCGCCGCGACGGCCGGACCCGCCCTGTCCCACTCCAGACCTGCCAGGACCAGGGCGGCGTGAGGGCCGCGGGATGAACGAACGGAACCTCGGCGACACCCGGCCAGCGGTTTCCGTTTCGAGGAAGGAGCGGGAGGCACCCAGGACGCCAGATGAAACAGTCGCTCTTGCCAACGCCCTCCGCATCCCCCCGCCAGGTGCTCCCCACGCTTTGCCCACTTTGCAGAGCTGAGAAAGCACCAGGGGCAGGAGCCCACGGCTCGGGCTCCAAGTGGAGCAGAAGAGGGCAGCGTGGAGGACCCGCGGGGCCGCCGACCTGCCTCCCTGCTGCTCCCCAGCGCCTCTGCCCGCCCGCCCCGTTTCACCCTCCCTCCGAGAGGCGGCCCAGCTTTCTCGTTTCCGTCCCCCGACCGCCGCCCCTCGCCCCGGCTCCAACCGTGCGCAAGGGGACATCCCCCTGTTTAAGAACCTAACAAACATCAGCTGGCTCCCAGCTCCCCACCACACACACACAAGCTACAAACTAAAACGACCCAGACTAACGCTACCCCTGTCACAAAATGAGAAGCCCGATAACACAGCCCATTCTGCTGATATTTAATGTAGTAATAAAGGTGCACGTTTTTTAAGAACTCACTTTCTCCTTAAACCTCTACGTATGTAGACCACCCTTCCATTTCTCATCTGCCTGCGTTTGAGATGCAAGTAAACTGCCTCCTTTTTGCCCTGGAATTTTTCACATAACCCCATGTACTGCCTGTCTGGTTGTGGATGTTTTCCCCATAAAAAATGAAAACAAAGTTGCCCTTCTCTGCTGTAAGATTATCATCAGCTTAGAAGCAGAGTGATCACCAAAAACATAATTGTGCTCTGAATCTAATGCTAATCTCCGCCCCTCCCCAGCCCCCAAACTCAGTAGTGAGCGTAACTCACAAAGTCGTCATTAACATCTATGCCCCAGAAACCAACGGCTGCCTCCAAAACTAACATGATCCGAAGTCCCCAGACGATGTCCGTCTGTTCCGAAGGCCTCTCCAGGGTGTGCCGGTCTGGCCCCTGGTTGAAGTTCACGTACATGTTCCCTAGCTGTTGGGGCGGGTTAAGAAGTCATCCGCCCTGTAGGAAGTGCACCCATGGTACCAACACGGTAACGACAACAGGCGTCAAGCCTCCTTCCTCCCTACAAGGGCAGCAAAGAAACCGCGCTGCCAACCACGCTCCTGACAGCGGAAACCCGAACTAGAGCAAGGGAAGGGAAGCCCCGATTCCGCGTGAATGTCCTTTTTAAGGGTTTGCTGTACTTCATAGTCAACAGTAGAAACTCAGTAAACGCCGTCCAGTAACAGCCAACCCTGGAAAATGCAAGCGAGAGTTCAGGCAGTGAGATCTTCGATTCGCTCAGGGCCCATGGGGAAACCACCTCTACAGCACAGACAGCCGACTTCCCACACTTGATTTTCTTTGTTTGTTTGTTTGCTTGTTTGTTTTGCCATCTGTAAACGTCCTCGGATGAGAAGTTGCTCGGGAAAACACGAAGCAGCCCGATGGCCTCCGGCTCAGTGCCGCCCCCGGGTTCCTGTCCCCTGCCCCAGGCGGGCCCCCCACGTGCGCGGACGCCACGGCCGGTCCCCACATCATGGCTGGGGTTTTTCTGACATTTAAAATGTGGTCACAGGAAAGAAAAACCTAAAGTAAGCGACGCCCCAAGGGGCAGCCCCATCCTCTAGCAGCGGAGGCCACGGCTGAGCGGCTCTCCCGGGGTGGGCACGCGCCCACCATCCGCAGGACAGAGCGGAGCGCGCGGGGGCCCATGGGTGACGGTGGCCGTCCGATCGGCAGTGTGAGCACAGCGCCAACCCCTCCAGGGCCACTAACGCGTCACGTGCTGCCAGGGCTCAGCTGCCTGTCGCCGTCTCACCTTTTTCATCTGTAAACTAATTTCCAGAAACAACTCCTCGTACAGTGAGCACTGACGATGGCAATGGACTCTCTGCGAACCCCCGAGACCTGGCCGGGACACGAAGCTTTATAACAACACCCACCTCACCTGTCTCACAGGTGCGCCGCACCCGTGTCCCTCCTCCCTGGGTCCTCGCCCTTGCTCTCCCACCCCGTCCCTTAGGCGGCATGACACAGCGTGAGGGTCCGAACACCCTGGAGCCTGCCTTACCATCCGTTACCTTCTCTGTAAAATAAAGCGAAGAAACCCTCGCCAAGCGCGACACATTTAAAGTGTCAGGCACCCCGTCGGGGCCGCGTGACACCTGGCCCCAGCCGGACCGCACGGCACGGGAGGCGCAGACCCCTGACCAGTGTGTCCGCAGACCGCCTGGCACGGGGCGGGGCCAGGGGGGGGCTTACGAAACCTGTCCCCCTATGAGATCAGCGCTATCAGCGTCCTGGAACCGTCGCAAAGAGGCCAAAACGTGCAGGAGTCCCCAGAAGCCCTCGGCACAAGCCAGCCCGGCTGAACCGAACCGGACGGTTCGGCCTCCTCGCTCACGCGGCCTTCCCAGGCGACGCTTGGGTGGGAGCCTCCGCCTGCCTGGGCCACCGCGTCCCACAAGTGCCGTCGTCCCAGGGTCTTCTGGTCCCCGTGGCAGCAAAGAGACGCTTACTTGGAGGGGGCCCGGCAAACTGGGGGCAGCAAGCTGACATCCGCCAACCCAGGCTGCCAGCGACCGTGGCTGCGGGGCCAGCAGAACCGCGCGTGTCTGCCGGGGTCCGGCAGGGAAGCCCGCGCCGCGCCCTGACGCCCGGCTGCGACCACCACGCGGCCGCTTCGCAGTCCCCGAATCGCCCTGCTCTCCCGCGAACCTCTCAGCAACAAAATGTCCTAAGCTGTTACACTGAATTCCTTTATAATTCAATTACTTATTGATGCCAGAACAGAATTAAATTAATTAGGAGGCACGGCTTGAAAGTCATGCTTAATTAAACAGCAGATAAAATATCCTCGGCGTTCTGGATATTAAGGAGCGGCTCTCTCTCTCCACACTTACGTGTGCGGGTTAGCTACGACCCGACGTCGGCCGGGACCCACGCTCAGCAGCAGAGCCAGACCCAGGCCACCGCCCCAGGCCTGTTTCAGGAGCCGTGGGGAACCACAGGCTCGTCTCCCCGGATGGCCCCGGCTGAGCCGTAACAAAGGAACTCGGGGGTCCGATGACCTCTGCGAAGGGCTGGCGCGGGCCCAGGATTAATAATTACCAACGAGAGGGCAGCAGAGACAGCGGGCGAAGCGATGAGCTAGGGACGCCGTCCGATCGGAACAGCGGTGACAAGGGAACGGGACGAGGGGGCAAGCCCTTGCGTGCAGATTTTAAACGACTGTTCGAGACAAACACGGGGCAGGCGAGGCTCTAACGAGAAAGCAGGTCCGTCACACTCCCTGAGCCACCGTGTCGCGGTGCCCGGCACAGAGCAGTGCTGGGGACCTGCGTAGGTGGGGGACAGAAGGAGCAGTGGTTACAGGAGCCAGCCTCCCTGCACCAGGCAGGAAACCGTCCTGGCCCCAGACGGCCTGCTCGCAACACCCAGCACGTTGTCCACGGCCTCCTTAACCATCAGCCGATTATGGTCGGGAAGCCCCCGTTAACCGCGGCCGCCATCTAAGAGGGGGCGAACTCCTGGGACAAAAAATTTTCATACCCGAAAGCCCAGCGAAAACGCAATTATCGGCACCACTTGCCCTTTTCCATAAGCTATAGGTTTTTTCCCCTAATAGAAGCCACGGACAGGGACAGAGTAAGTTTTAGGAGTCACCAAAAACAGCCTTGGAAACAGCGTCTGTTCGCAGGAGATAAACAAGTGTAGGCAGAACAACTCACGCGCCCCCAGGACCCTTCAAGTGACACTTGCCTTTCAGGGGCCTCGAAAAAGCGTCAGAGAAGCAAGGACCTCGGAACAGAACGGAGAAAGGGTTCAGACCGCGCGCGGCGTGAATTCAAAACCCGCCTTTATTGACCGCCTACTGTGCGCCCGGCACTGTCCTAGGTACCCTGGAGTTTTGTGATTGCAAAGCAGACAGAGCCCTGCCCTCCAGCTACTTGAGACAACCTAACACGGTAGCGGGGCCAGAACGCACGGGGCTCGCAGGACCATCCAGCAATGCAATCTGGGGAAGCTGTCTTACACGAGGGGTCGGGAAAGAACTCTTTTTAAGGTGAAAGCTGAAGAGTAAGTACGGGACCGGCCCGGAAAGCGCAGGGGAGCGCGTTCCGGGAGGGGGCACCCGGCCCTACGGGGCGGGCGCTCCGCGAGTTTGCGGAGCAGAGCGGGCGCGCGGGGCACAGGACAGGCGCGCGCTGAGCCGACGACGGGCCCAGGAGGGGCACGGAAGGCCGGGACCTGCCGGACGGGGGCGCCCGAGCGTGGGCCTCAGGTTCCCGGTTCCAAGCAGCGGCGCGAGCCGGGGCGTGACACCGGCCACTCTTGGGGGAATGGCCTCCACTCCCGCCTGCCCCGCCCCCCGCCCCCATCCCTAGCGGGTCCCCTGGCGCGCGGCGGTCACCTGAGTGGCTGAGCACCTCCCACTCGCCGGGCCCGCAGAAGATCGCCGCCAGCGCGCACAGTTCCTCCTGCGCCGGCCCCGCCATCCGCGCGCCCCGACCCGCCCCGCCCCTTCCGCCGCCGGCCCCGCCCCGCCCCGCCCCCGCGCAGCCGGGCCGCGGCCACAAGGGGGAGCCCGCGTCTCCGCAGCGTGGGGCAGACGCCGGGGCGGGCGGATAGGCCCGGAGATCCGCCCCGGGCGCCCAATTCCTATCGCCCCAGGGAGGCTGCGTCTCCGGGGACTCTCCTGGGGGCCGGTGGCCCGGGACAGGGTCGCGCCCGTGGCTGTCCTGCCGGAGGGCGGCCTCGCAGCAGAGCCTCCCCGACCTTGAACGCGCGCCGGGCGGTGGGCGAGGGGAACCTGGTTAGGAAGAAAAGCGAGCGAGGAGGCGGGCAGAGGAGGCGGTGGGCCCTGGCCGGGCTCGCAGCTGAGCTAGGCGTGGGGGTACAGACTGGGCTCGCCCCCTCCTGGCGCTTCTAGTGACCCAGACCTTCTAGTGACCCAGACCGGGCACTCACCGCCTCCGAGGCTGAGCGCCACCTGGAGCGGCCCCTGCCCAGGACCCCTTCCCCTTACCGGTGCAAGAAGGGAGTTTGGACCTGCAGGGCCGGGATTCTAAGGATGTCACCCGGGGGCCCCGGACCTTGCGGGCAGTTCTGCGCCCAGGTGCCCATGTGTCCCCTGCTTTCACGGGGGACCGCCGCGCTGACCTCGGCCCGGGGAACTCCTTGGCCTTTGAGGGCGGGCTCAGTCAAGTGTGTAAACTCTGCAGACGCTAGCTCTTAACATTGTTTAATTTGTGAAATTCAGCACATACAAAACAGTGGGACTCTTGACCCTTAATCAATGAAATGATGGTCCCTGAATCCAGCAGTGAAGTTGAAGAATTTGAGCAATAGTGACAGGGTGGCGATTATCAGCCCATCTAGTTCGGCTGTGAATTCCTGAGCAAGGTTGCAGTGACCCTCTGCGGTACTTCTGTTTGTCAACCTGTTGGGCTCAACCAAAACCTTTTGGGGGGTGTACTGTTTGTGTGTTTTTGTTTTCAGTAACTCATTTCAAGTTTTGCAGCCCCTCTTCCCTGTAAAGGTAGCTGGCCTTGCTCAGGCAGGTCCCACAGTTTTTGCTTGTATCAGAAATAACAGTTTGAGCCCTGAGGGGTGCGGCTCTGGGTTGGGCACCTTCCTGCAGATCCAAAGCGTGCAGGTTGGACTCCCCGTCAGGGCGCCGGCCCGGGCTGTGGGGGTTCGTCTCGGTCCGATTGGGCACGTAGGAGAGACACCTAATCGGTGTTTCTCTCCGTCTCTTTTCCCCTCCCTTTGCATCGAGAGAGAGAGAGAGAGAGAGAACATTTGAGCGATAAGCGAGGGGCTTTGGGTGGCTGCAGCAGCTCCTGTCGTGGACCCGAAGAAGCCAGGCCCGTGGGACAGGCGGGCCGACGGCGAGACGAGTCACGTGACCGCCGCCGCCGCCGCCGCTCCCGCTGTTGCCAAAGCGCGATTTGAAGGGGGAGATAACAGCGGCTTCCGAGAACAGAAGGGCGTCTGGCCAGACAGGCTGCGGAAGGGCCCCCCCGCGGAGGGCCCGTGGGATTTCCGGGACCCGCGTCAGCAAGGGCACCCCTGTGCCCGTAAGGGGGGAACAGAGCGCTCTCTAAACTCAGTTATCTCCGAGGTGGCCAATTTGTTTAACAGTAATTTTTTTTTTAAGTTCCTTTGAGTTATTTCCAAAACAGCAGCAGCGAAAGAGATTCATAATTAGCTGCTGAAGAGGCTGGCGAACACAAGAGTCCATTTTCTAATTGAAAAGATCATCAGGTTATTTCATTTTAGTTTGGAGCCCGATGTTAGTATTAAAATGGTATAGGAAAGTATGGATTTAGTTGTTTGACTGAGCTATTAAATATAACCTTGAAAAAGTTAGGTTGATCATACCTGGCTTTTAGTTTCCCAAGTTTAATACAACAGGCGTGAAATAGCACAGGAAGAGCCAGGTGTCCGGGAAACGGGCACAAGTACCTCCATCTATTGCACGTTTTCTAATTGGCAGGCTTCTTCGCGCTCCCTTCCTCTGTGGGTTTCTTCCCCTGCTTCTCCTACTCCCTGTAGCGTGTTCAGTTAAAAACGTAGGTGCGAGTCCTGCCTGGTGTGGCTCCGCGGACTGAGTGCCGGCCTGTGAACCAAAGGGTCGCTGGTTCAATTCCTGGTCAGGGCACAGGCCTGGGCCGCGCGCCAGGTCCCCAGTAGGAGGCGCACGAGAGGCAACCACACATGGATGTTTCTCTCCCTCCCTTCCCCTCTCTCTAAAAATAAATAAATAAAATTGTTAAAAAAAAAAGATATCGGTGTGGATGTCTTTTCCACCGGCACCATCCTAAGGCCTGAAGTCCGCTAAACAAGGCTCTGCTCCCTGACATTTGGAAGTGTGACTGTTACAGGCCCCCTTGACGCCAGCGTGACGTTTCTCCTGCCCTGAAAACATCAGCAGCCTGTCAAGCACCTACAGCCCGCCTCCCTGTAACACATTTCCTTGTGTGCGTGGGCTACGGACGATTCGAAAGGTCTCCCTATGGAACGGACGTCTCAATGTGCAGATGAGTTGTGCTCCGAGTTCACTCCCCCTCCACCCCTCCCCCCGCCCCCGCCCGCGACCGTGCATGATTTGCTAGGACAATATGACGTACATTCGTGGCTTTTCTAAGGGGTTGCTCCCCGGAGACCATGAGGAGGAGGCGTTTGGAATCTCTCACCTCCAGTGAGAGCCACTCTGCCTAGGAGACGGTTTGTAACACGTCAGGGGAAACGCTTCTTCTCGCTTCGTCAAGAGTGAGATGGAGAATTAAATCCTCAACTCTCCTCTGAAATTTTAAGTCCAGCCCCACAGGAGCGTAGACCCGAGAACCCACGACTGATCGTAAGAGTATTCGGCGGGATGACGTGATGGCCTGTCCGGAGACGCCGAGGACCCTAACACGGAGCTGAGCGGTGTGTCGTAGGGACAGTTGTCAGGCAGAGACTGAGGAAAGTGAAAAGGCTTCGAGAACCACTAGGAATCAAGAACGAAAGAGGCATTAGCTGCCAGCCTGCTCGACGGACCTGAACTCCAGGAGGCCGCGCTGCAGGGCCGGCCCAAGGGCTCCCGTGCCGGCCCGCTCTGCACGCAGGGCGACCTCGGCTGACAGCCGCGGGTCGGGGGCTCCGGGAGCTGAGCGTCGCCATCCAGAGAGGAGGGCCGCCCACCCACTGCCTCAGACACCCCCCGCCTTCCGCCTAGACAGGCAAGGACACAGGCAACGGCCCCAAGGGCCCTCGGCACCCGCGGGCAGAGGGACGCCCTCGTGTCCTCGGCGCACGAAGTTTACCCTGGAGGCAGCAGCACACCGGGGACAGCGTGTGCCCCCGGCCACCCCCAGAGGGGACAGCTGTCCGCTCCGCTGGGAACGCGGGTTTCCAAAGCACGCGGAGTCGGCGGTGAGGGCAGGACGTAGCCCTTCCTGTTCTGCGTCAGCACGCGACCACAGACTCACTCGGCACCAAGATAACAAAACAAGAGCACGTAAAATCTATACTCACAGGACGCTGACTCTCTAATTCCTGCCGTTCCGCCGAAGCGGCCGGGTCCCCCGAGCGGGTCGCCTGTGCTCCCTCCACAGGACGGGCCGCCTCTGAGAAACGTGCCCCGTGCTCCTCACGAGGGACGTCGAAGCCGCCGCCTGCCTGCTCGGTGGGAAGCCGTTTCAAAAAGCCGTGTCTCCAACTCACAAAGGAACTGGATGTGAGTAAACTCTGCCATTTTGGCACAATCGACGCTCCGTGGTCGGACGTGGAGGGAGAGCAGCGTATCGGAGGCCCGCAGCTGTGACTGGGGAATTAGACCCGACTTCCTTTATTAAAAACGGAGGGGGGGGGGGCTGCAGGTAAAAGATGTATCAGATACAGGGGCAGGGAGAAGGCAGAGAGAGAGGGAGGGAGGGAGGGGAGGAGAGGAGAGACGAGAAGGACCCCGAACACTTCGGAAGACAATCGGAATGGATGGTTTTTATCACGTGAGGGGAAGTCTGAGTAGCGGCTTGGCTTTGTTTCTGGAAGAGGCTTGAGTTCCCTGCTTCTTACGCGATAGTGAGACCGGGGACTCTATTCAGCGATGGCACGAGGTCCTGTCGGAAGCGGGGAGAGGCCGGGCCGGCCGGGGGCGGGCGGGGGCGGCTGAGCACAGGGTGACAATTGGCCGGGCGGGGCTGTGGGGGCAGAGGGCTTGGGGGTGAGTCTGTCTGTCTACGCCTGCGTATTTCATATTCTCCGTAATAAAAGTTAGTTTTCAGAATGTATTCCATGGATCATCCTTGAAGGTGTCTGAGGCCCAGTTAAGGCCCGAAAGCAACGGGGAATCGGAGGCAAGGGGAGCGGCCGGGGCTAAGCAGAGAGGCCAGGGGCGGGGGCGGGGGTGTGGGGACAGAAGACGCCGGGCCCTGCGGCCGTGTGTTCCGCAAACGCAGGGCTCAGGGTTCATCAGGTGACAGCAGCAGAGCCTGAAGCTGCAGTGGCCTTAACAAGACACGCGCGGCCCCCCCGCCCCGAGACGGCTCCGGTGCAGGGAGGGGGCCCAGCGGCTCCGCTTGTTCTCCACGCAGCTTGGCTGCTCACGGTCCTGCGTGGCCCAGGGCGGCCCCGGGGCTCCAGCCACCAGGTCTCCATCTGCGCGGGAGAGCGGGACATGGCCGGCCCCGCCGGCTGGCGTGGAGCCCCCGGCCACTCCCAGCTGAAGAAGGGCATCTTCGTCCTGGGAGGCCATGCGCCCAGCTGAACGCGGAGGAAGAGAAGCAGTGTTATTGTTATTCCTCTCTTACCACGCTGCTGGGAGGCAGCTGAGCCTGGGCTGGGACGCTGGGTCGTCACACAGGCCACGTCTGCAGGGCTCCACCCCCGCCCCCCAGCTCTGCCTCAACGCCCTGCGCTCTTCCTCCCATAACAGTGCCGTCGTCTGAAGTCACCTCGATTGTTTGTGCACCTGCGGCTGCCACAGGACAGCAGGATCTGTCCCCCGCCAGGAGCTCAAACCGG